GAATTTACATCCGACCCTCAAACTCGTTTATTAAACGAAGTCAGAAAGGTTGTTCTTAAAGAAAATCAAATTAATTTTCTTAAAGAAGAAGTTTTATTTGTTCAAATAGAAGAACAAATTAAAATGAAAAAAGAGCTAATAGCTCAAATAGAAAATAAATTTAAAATTACTATTTGTAGTAATTTACCCAATGCTTTTTGGGAAAGAAAGAAACATATTGTTTCTTTGCCATACATAGATGGTTTTAATGAAAAAGATATTCCAACTAAATCTAGGCCTTGCCAGATAAATAAAGAATATCTTGGTCTATGTAAAAATAAAATAAATTCTCTTATAGAGAAAAAATTAATAAGGAAATCATATTCTCCTTAGAGCTGTACAGCATTTTACGTTAATAATGCTGCTGAACAAGAAAGAGGAGTATCTCGTTTGGTCATAAATTATAAACCTCTTAATAAAGTCCTTAAATTGATTAGATACCTTATTCTTAATAAAAGGGATTTATTAAATCATATTAATAATGTAAAAATATTCTCTAAGTTTGACTTAAAGTCAGGATAATGGCAAATACAAATTGAACAAAAGCATAGATATAAATCTGCCTTTGTCGTTCCATTTGGTCATTACGAATGGAATGTAATGCCTTTTGGATTAAAAAATGCTCCTTCTGAATTTCAGAATATCATGAATGAGATATTTATTCCTTATACGGATTTCATCTTATCATATATAGATGATATTTTAATCTTTTCTCAAAATTTTGACCAACATGTTAAACATTTAGAAATTTTTAAAAACTTGGCCATACGAAATGGTTTAGCAGTATCTGCTCCTAAAATGAAATTATTTCAATCCCAAGTTAGATTTTTGGGTCATAATATTTATAAAGGAACTATAGTTCCAATAGATAGGAGCATTGAATTTGCTTCTAAATTTCCTGATATTATTACTGACACTAAACAATTACAAAGATTTTTGGGATCTTTAAATTATATTACAGATTATTATAAAAATCTAGCCCAAAACACTGCTATTTTATATATTAGATTAAAAAAAATGCTAAACCTTGGACATATCATCATATTAAAGCTGTTAAAAGAATAAAAACGAATGTTAAATGTCTACCTTGTACTCATTTAACGAATACTGTTTGGTTTAAAATAGTTGAAACTGATGCCTCTAATATAGGCTACGGAGGAATCCTAAAACAAAATGATCCTACTACTAATAAAGAGCAACTTGTTAGATTTACTTCTGGTAAATGGGACAAAGCCCAATTTAATTATTCAACCATAAAAAATGAAATGCTTTCTATTATTAAATGCCTCTCGAAGTTTAGAGATGATATTCTTAATCAATAATTTTTATTAAGAATTGATTGTAGTTCTGCAAAAAGTGTTATAGAAAAAGATATTAAAAATCTTGTTTCTAAACAAATTTTTGCCAGATGGCAAGCTGAACTTGCTATGTATGAATTTTAAATTGAGTTTATTAAAGGTAATAATAACTACTTACCTGATTTTCTTACCTGTGAATTTTTACAGGGTGCCCATGAAGCAGAATAATCCCTCTTCAGGGAGGGGGAGAGGCAGAGGTATTAATCCCCACAATACTCAGAGGGCTTATAGTCCTACTAAACCTTTTGATAGCCAAATTCCTGAATCCAGTTCATGGAGAACTGTTGCAAAAAAGAATTATTCAGGAGGCCCAACTCAAAGTCCATCTCAAGCCTTTTATAAAGGCCTTGTTAATGAAATAAGTCAGGATAATAATCCTGAACCCTTCACTTTAATAGTGAAGCAAGAAACAGAATGGACACCTAAAAGATTGTCAGAAATAGTTCTATACTTAGAACAAGAGGATATTCCTCTCATGCATGATACTAAAAATATTAGAACAAGATATTTAAATGACAATTATTATCCAACATTGTTATTAAAATCCAGATCTTGGATGAAAACATTGGTTATACAAAAGGAAATGGAAATAACCCATTTCTGGGGATCCGAAAATAAAACTATTCCCTCGAATTTCAGTAAATACATTATTAAAGAGGTTATTCTACCTCGGAAATGAGCTATAAACCCAAATCAAGAATTGCCTCTGGTTAAAGCCCAGAATTCTAAATAAGTTTATTCTTTCAATTATTAGGATTACAAGCAGGCATTTTATAATATATTATTATATCATAATCCCAAGAATGAGTATACTTGGATGATCAAGCTTTGTCCAGAAGCTCTTAAAAAGGGCATACCATCATGGTTTTATAATTGGTGGAAAATCTATGGTGCTGAATTAAGCATCTTATCAGAACCCATAGCTAAATTATATTCGGCATGGGTAGAATCTTATCCCATTATTTCTAAAATGAAAGACAATAATATTGTCGAGGGTTTATGTGTCGTTCACTTTTTCTTTGAAACAGAGATTCCATGGATTTGGACATGGACTTTTGAGTCAGATTGGGATGACTCACATTTACCCATTCTTAAAAGAAATTTCTATTATAGATGGTGGAATGGAATTATTGTAGAAGAAAAGGTTAAACTCATTGAAGAAATTATAGCGAGAAATAATATTGTTCTCGAAAAATCTATTTCATAAGAAATTCAAAAGGTTAACCCAATGATGCAGTTAGCAAAAATGATTAGAAGGAAATATCCGCAGGCTTCTGAAATGGAAATTTAGCAGAAGTGTCTTGATCATATAAAAAGATAATTTTTTGAAGCCTTTGATAATATGGAGACTCAATCCAGTAAAAGCCTTGATTCCTATGGTGAAGGTAGTACTTTGTCAAACGCACAAGGAGAAGAAGAAGAAGAAGATATTTGGAAAGCTGGTATGGGAATACTGAATCAGACTCCAACATCTGACCTTAAAGGTAAAGGAAAAGAGATTTAAAAATGTAAAGAAATTATTCATCTTTATGAGTTGAGCCCTGAGGAGCCACTCATTATATTCCAACTTTTTTAGAGAAGCTTTTTCAAAAGAGATGATTTTATAAAGCCACTTTTGAAAAGAAGATACTTTGTCAGTGCTTTGCCAGATGTCTTCTTAAAATATGATATGTATCTGTATAAAAGATTCTCTTCCAGTCTATATAAGGAGAGAAGTAGTTTGTTGTAAGGTGTGCTCTTTCAGTCTAAGCTTTATTTCTAAATCAGTGTAAGTTTGTAGTGCGAAGCAGTTCTCTTGTAAGCTATTTTCTTATAAATAAGATTGAAGAAGATATTATCTTAAGAGTGGGCAGCCGAACCTTGTAAGTTCTTCTTCTTTTTATTATTTATATAATTTTTTAAGCATGTTTAGTTTTGGTATCAAAGCCAGGTTAGGCTAATTTTGTTCTTACGATTTATTTGTGTTTTGATCTACTTAAATGTAAATTATCTATATGTTCTTCCTTTTCTTTATCTATGAACTTAGTTTTTGGTTCTATGGAACGTCTTTAAAGTCGCGTAGTGTAAAACCCAGTCGTAGCTGAGATGGCATTGAAAAGGGTAGTGTAAATCGTTGACAGACGTGTAAACTTTGAACTAAGTTGTTTCTTGAAGAAAAGAAAGAAAAATAGTTAATTTATATCCTCATAATTTGTCTTACGCAAATAAATCTGTAAGATTATTATGTCAGAATTAATTCCATTGTCCTCTATGTTAAGTAAGACCCTTAATAAGGGAAAAAGAGTTAAAAATACTCAAAGCACAGAATATACCTCTGAAATAGAGGCTTTAAATAAATGGACAATTCCTACAATTCCTAATAGGGATATTTATAAAATAGGATTTTTAGATTATAAATCCATAATTACTATTAAAACTTTAGAACGAACTACTACAGTAGATCGTGATGAGCAAACAATACAATTGCTCAGTCCTATTTGAGCTCTTAAGATAAATATCTGAATAAAAGACGTCAATCCACTAGATTCATCAAAAGGAAGAGAATTCTTTTCTGTGTGTCTGATTAGGATCTCGTTCCAAGAGAAAGGTGAAGAGAGAGCTTTAGACTTCCTACATATATATATTAACTAGTTTCAGGCCCGTGCGATGCACATATTTGTTTAATATATAAAAATTAATGTAGCAAAAGAATGCAAAGTAAAATAGTAATAATATAGACATAGTCAGAAATGATACAACCTAAGTTGCATATATAGTTTAGAAAATTAGAAAGTTTGGAAAACTTGAATCAGTTTAAGATAATATATATAGTTTGAAAAATGTAATTGTGTAAAAACAGTATTCAAAAATATGACAGGAGTTATTTTATTACTTAGAAGGTAGAAAAAATTTAAAATTAAAGTGAAATGTTAAAAAAGTACCAAAAATGGGTAAACTTAAAAAAATTGAAAAAATGAAAAGGTTTGGAAAAATGTAAACATGGGAAAATAATTTTTGAACATTTTGTGTGAGTCATATCAATATTTAAACCATTATAACTTTCTAAAGAAATTGGTAAAATAAAAGTGTAATGTCAAAAAACAAAGAAAATATAATACCTATCATATAATGAGTGTATGGCATCCACCTGACGAAAATAAGAGACAATGTAATACCTAAATCAAATAAAGTCAGTGTAAGAAAATTGTAAATGATTGTAATTTAAGAACATCATCAAACCATAAGAATACGGCATAAGAAGTACTCAATTAGTTAAATAAAATGTAACTTTCACATATTCTATATAAACATAAGAAAGAACAAAAATATTGAAGTGAAATGCATTGTCATTAGAGAATAATAACAAAACATAATATAAGAGAAATACATTCTAGTAATATTATATCGAGTAACATTTAAACAAAGAAACAAACAGATATAAAACATAAAAATATAATTATATAGAAAGAAAAGAAAAACACTTGTATTCAATAAGATACATAAATTGAAAAATAAAATTTTAGTTTGTTAAACATGCACACAAGCATGCACCACTACATACACGTAATACTATAATAAAAGGATACAAAAATATCCAATGTGAATCTTCTTTGATGACTGGAATATAAACATGTTTCACTTGGTCATAACTTGCTAATTCTACAACATTTATTATAGCATTACGTGCAACATTAGGACCAATCCCAGTCCACAGAGCACAAATTCCTTCCTAACGTTTTGAAATCTTTGACAACTTCAGTAAAATAACATGACAGAGAAAAGGTAGAATTAATTAGAGTTCAATATAAAACGTGTATGACTATAGTAGAGTAAGCATTCAGGGCTCCTGAATAACGTCTTGGTGCACCCACTGGAAGCTTGCCTTCAGCTTGAAGTCGTACTTTCACCAAATTGGTTGGATTAGCGACTGTTATTGCTATAGCACACATTTAAAAATTATAACACAAGCATGTTATAAAATTATCAGGAGTAGCCCAAAGAAGAAATCTTACCTTAGAAATTAAAAAAACTCAAATGTAAATTGGTCAAACAGATGCAGTTTTACTAACACGGACATTATGAATTAAACTATAAAATGGACCTAAACCTACCAGTTGTAAGGCCAGCAAGTATTTTCTTGGTTAGAGGAATATCTCCAATGAAATTCTCACCAACATACAAGGATTTAACCTAACAAAAGAGCCAACAACTGACAAATAAGGAATATAAATATCAAGCAAATTCCCATTTGATAAAAAATATAAACTTACCGGCTCATACAATCTAATCAGTAGGCCTCCAAATACACATTGACGATGTAATCCTGGCACAATACCTTTCCAAAGTGCTGCCAGGCATTCTTCTCTAGTAATTGTAGATACAGTGTCTAACATGCCTTTGTATTTTGGTAAAGTCACTACATCTCTTGAAACCGCTTTCTTTTGAAGCTGAAGCCTGACTTTTGCAGTGTCCAAAGGAATGGTGAAAATCTTGCACATGAATTTATTCAAAAATCTACTAATTAATCTTAAACTACTACAAAACTAATTCTCTTATTCAAAAACTAAGAAATATATTTTATAACCTAATTTCAGCAATAATTAGAATCTAATTTTTTTAAGCAAGTCACATGAAGAGTACATTAAACTTGATAGAGGCAAAAACTCAAAACACCTCACACTTGGAAATAATAACACAAAAATAGCCTCACACTTGGAAAACCGAAGGAAATGTTCTCACAATTGGAAAAACCAAACCAATGCCCACACATTTGGGAAAACCCCAAACGAAAAAAGAAAAAAAACACTAACAAATAACTCATTTTCGAGTCAAGTGCGCATTGTGTGCACCAAGATACTACTGATACTATGTGGAAATTCTAAAAAGACAACAAAAGAATCATATCAATTATCAAATTATCAATCCGCTTCTCTACACAAGACAACAAAGTTTTGCTCTATGAAAATCCATCATCATCAAACTGAGCTTATTGAAATCAGTAGTAATAAAGACAGATAAGAAGAAGGACTAAAATTGCCAACCAAAATAGTAAGTGATTTGATGGAGTATGTAAAACAAATCATATTTCTAACCTAATATTGTCAAGTGGCTTATGAGTAACTTATATGAAAGAATGTCATATTCAAGATAGGAACCGAATGTTTGGGCATCCTCCAACAACTTGGTTAAGATAGGGGTATGCATAATATTGGAGTAATAATTATTTATTTGTGTCGCTAAATGGCACTTTACTGGTTCTTGAGTTCCTCTAAGCTTATCATAATTAGTGGTAGAAAAAGACTTTGCATAATTCCATCAGAAGGCAAGCTAAAAATGAAAAAAAACTCAAAGAGTACTAATATAAAGTATAATACAAGGCATGACAGATTATTGTAGGCTGTCTAAAAATCACTACAGATAGCTAATCCCCCATCAAACACCAATGATAAAAGTTACAATCTGATGACTTCCAGAAGGCTATAATTTAAAGACTTTCACGTCGATCGATGAAGGTTACAATCTGACGACCTTCACAACAACCGATAAAAGCTCTAGTTCAACAGCCTTCACAATCAATATTGGGAGTTACAATCTGACGACTCTCACATTTTCAAGGAGCCAAGATGAAGATTATAAGATGGCGGTCTTTACAACGCTCTAGCAAAAGAGACCACAAATTGATGGTCTCTTCACATCAAAACGCAGAGGTCATTCCTGCGTTATACCATTAAAACACAGAGGTCGTCCCTATGTTACAAACATCAAAATGCAAAGGTCATGCCCAAAATTCTAGTAAAAAACACAGAGGCCATTCCCAGCATTCAAGTACAGACACAGAGTTCGTGGACTCAAAACGCAGAGTTCATGCAGAGCCCAACTCTGCGTCCCAGGTCTAAAACGCGAAGTTCATCTCTGCATCCCAACTCTGCATTTCAGATATACAACGTTGTGTGAACACTACGTTTTCAGCCTAAAACAGGTCCAACTCTGCGTTTTAAGTCTAAAACGCAGAGTTCGGGCCCAGAACGCTATTTTCGACGTTTGACTCGTTCAAACACGAGCTGAACGGTTTCAGGAACCATTTTCCCCCTATATTTGGAGGGATTTCTGCCCCACTTAGGAGCAGATTAAGGGGGCGGTTACACCCTATTCAACCACATTATGGAGAAAATTAAGAGGGCGGTTACACCCTTAATCCCCTATAAATAGGAGTAAACTCAACTGAGTTCGGACCTTTCGGCCTTCGACTTGACAGCAAAGGAGAGATCTTTGGCTGCCTTTTAGGGGGAATTGCTAGAGCTTTGGAGATCAACAACAGAAGCTTTCTTCATACTTGGCTTACAAACCGATTTTTGGTTAAATTAATCAACTCTTCCATAGAGTTATAACTCGCTCGGAGTTCCCTAACTCATTAAGAGTTTCAAACTTGTTCCACAAGTTCGTCTAAACTTGTTCAGAGTTCTAAAACTTGCTTCGCAAGTTCTTCACAATGTCAAATCGTGAGGAAGAGATACCGTTCCAGTGGATCAAGACGTTCAGATCGTTAACGGAGAGCAAACTCGACGCGAGCATTCGAGGGAGGCACTTCATTGCCACCGTAAAGAACTCAGACTTAAACAAAGGGGAGAATTCAGATCAATTCTCCTCTCTTTTGTAATCAGAAAATCCAAATTATAATTAAATTTGAGAGAATTGTAAACATTTTTTGTCTAAGCAGTTAGAGAGAATAAAATCAAACACAATTCTTTTATTTTCATTTCACAAATTTTCCACCAAATAATTATTCCCACCACTGAGAAGATTATATCTACTTAAAATTGTATAGAAGAAGCAAAGCTGGGGCTAGATAGTTGTATCTATCTATTTTTGTAAAAATAAGAATAATAACTAAAGTTTATAACAGTGGAAAATTCACTCTGCCGACACAAAAAGAGAGTACAAAAAAAAAAGCATGATACCCAACATAGAACATTCTCTGAGAACAAAATCTAATCAACACTGGATAAAGATGAATATGTGAAAATTAAATATATTTTTTATTCAATATTCAACAAAGTACATAGATCTGCAAGGAATATAATAGAAATTGCTAGCTATGAACAAAGTAAAACCTTATCTCAGACAAATATGCTAAAATTAGTTAAATTTATTTAGGAACCACAAGAACAGAGTGCTATTGATCAATTTTGAGTATTCATAAAATGAAATTGACATAATTTTAGCTTGTTAGAACTTTACTGATCAATTTTGAGCATTCATAAAATTCTACAAATATTAATTCTCCATGCACATAAGTTTCCTCCTAAAAGACAAAAATCCATAAAATCCAAGGCAAACCCTTCTTAATTCTAGAGTTCTCTTCAAGAGATTCCTGTACCGCAGAGAAAAAGAACTACCATGAACTAAGAAGAAAAGAAAAATTTTAAACAAATTAAACATAATAGCTTTATAATTAACAAATTTAAATTAAAAGAAAAAACATGCTCAGCTGAAGGAGAGGAAAAAAAAGTTGCTTGCTCTCAACAACAGCAAGTGTTTTAGAGTCATCAGCCTTCTCTTTGGCCGGAGGCGGCGGTGTCGCCGGAGATGGGATCACTTCCTTCTCATCCGCCACATCTTTTGGGGCCTCGGCTACCGTCGGCGGCGACGTAGCAGGAGCTTCTGGCTCTGTTGAGACCCAATCGAAAAGGAGGCTTAGATTGAGGGGAGACGACGAGATTTGGGGGATTTCAATCAAAAATGAGGCTTAGATTGAGGGATTTCAAAAAGAGGGCAGGATTGAGGGAGACAAAGAGGCGATTTGGGGTTGTCTAGATTATTTCTGAGATTGATGGATGCTTAATGACCTTGGAAGTTGAAGAAAGGGTGTCATTGAATATTAAAAAGAATTTTTTTAAGAAATTTAAAAAAAAGAAGAAATTGCCAAGTGGCGTGTGCAAGGGTAAGAGTTTTTAATAATAGATATAGATTAATGATCTTGGAAGTTGAAGAAATGGTGTCATTGAATATTAAAAAGATTTTTTTTAAGAAATTAAAAAAAAGAAGAAATTGCCAAGTGGCGTGTGCAAGGGCAAGAGTTTTTAGTAATAGATATAGATGTTAATTGCTAAAGGTTTGAAGTTTTCGTAATTATTTTAATCTAATTCACAATAAAAAGGATGATTAAATAATCAATTATGGGTCTGTTGAAGGATGTCGGCAAGAAGCGTCGATTCCAGCAGCGTGCCCTTGTCGTGAATGCTGTTGGGGTTAACCTATCGACAACCTGTCAAAGAACCTCCGCGCAACGTGCCCTCCGGATCTTGTGACGAACAATTAGCAAACAAGAAATCACAACAAAACAAAAACTTTACAGGAAAGAACAAATAAAAGGAGAGAACACCAGATTTAACGAGGTTCGGCAAACGTACCTACGTCCTCGGGAGCCACACTAGAAATTCTTTGATTATTGAAGAAGATTACAAGCTTGCAAAAGGCTACTCTCTCTCTCTCTCTGAGATCTCTCTCTTAAAGTGCTCAAGAATATCTATCTTTTTCATGTACAATACTCACAAAATCGTTCAGGATGTATATATATAACCCTAACTCAAAACAGATTCCCAAACAGGCGGGGAACCGCTTGACCCGATATCGATCGACTGATGATGCCTCATCGGTCGACTGATAAGGGATTCTCAGCTGCTTCGTGCACGTTGTCGGTCGACTGATGGCACTCCATCAGTCGACTTACCATAGCGAGTTTTAGGCTTGTTTCCTACAGTCGAATCGGTCGACTGATCCGCTTCTTCGATCGACCGACGGGTGGTTTTCTGCTGCTTGTTGATTTTGTTCCTAGGTTTCGGTCTACAAAACCCAAAACCAACAATCTCCCACTTGGAGACCAAGCCTCCATCAACAAGCTCTCTTGAACTCCAGCCATCTTCGCATGCACTTTCTCCTAGCCATAAATTTTTTTTAATCAATATCATCCTTGATGATCTCACTCGTCCTCCTAGTGTGACTCCGCCCTCATCTCGTAAGTATGAAAGCCAACTTCCCTCATCTCGTAAGTATGAAGGCCAACTAAAGTTGCGCATAACTCCAGTTTCTCAATGAAGTCGCCTTTGTCAACATATCTGCAGGATGTTGGCTCCCCAAAATTTTCTCTAACAGTAACTTCCCGTCCTCTATCAGCGAGCATATAAAGTGATAACGTACGTCGATGTTCTTAGTTCTGGCATGATATACTGGGTTCTTGGCATGGTGTATAGCATTCTGACTATCACAATAAAGAACTATGTTCCCCGCTTCAGACCTAACTCTTCCAGACATCCAGTCAACCAAATCATCTCCTTGCTAGCCTCAGTCACTGTAACATACCCTGCCTCAGTCATGGACAACATCACTATCTTCTGCAAACGTGAGACCCAGCTCACTGCTGTCGATCCTAAGGTAAAAACATATCCTGTGGTACTCCGACTTGTATCATGCTCACCGGTAAAGTCTGCATCCACATATCCCTATAGTACCAATCCTTTGCTTTTAAAACACGGTGGAATATCTGTAGTCCCTCTCAAGTATCTCAGTATCCACTTCATGACCTCCCAATGCTGCTTCTCTAGATTACTAGTAAACCTGGTCACAACTCCTACTGCATTGGCGATATCCGACCTCGTGCAAACCATCGCATACATAAGACTACCAATGTCTAATGAGTATGTCACTCTGGTCATGAACTCTTTCTCTGCATCCGTCTTGGGTGATTGCTCCTCAGAGAACCTGAACTGACTTCCAAGGGCCGTGTCAATGGCTTTTGCATTCTGCATGTTAAATCTTTGAAGTACATTCTCAATATATTCAGCCTGACTCAACTTCAACGTCCCTTCAGCCATATCCTGACTAATTCGCATCCTAAGAATTTGATTGGCTACACCTAAATCCTTCATAGCAAACTCCTTTACCAACTGCTTCTTCAACTTATTTATCTCTTATAAACATAGCCCTGCAACTAACATGTCATCTACGTACAGCAATAACACGATATAGCTAGACTCGAACCTCTTGTAGTAGAAGCAATGATCTGAATTGCACCTTCCATAACCATTGCTCTGCATGAAGTTACCAAACTTCTTATACCACTGTTTTGGAGCCTATTTCAAACCAAGCTCTTCTTGAGCCTACATACCATCTCTTTCTTTCCTTCCTCTATGAAACCAACATGTTACTTTATGTAGATTTTTTCATCTAAGTCACCATGAAGAAAGACAGTCTTTACATCCAACTACTCAAGGTAGAGATTTTAAGCAGCTACTAAGCTCAACACTACTCTAATGGTTGTAAGCTTCACGACGGGGGAAATATCTCTGTATAATCCACTCCTTTCCTCTATTGGAATCCTTTCACAACTAATCTGACCTTTTATCTTTTGCTAACATCACTCTTCTACTTGATCCAGCAGACCCACTTGTTATGTAAGGCTTTCTTTTTCACATGTAGTTAGGCTAACTCCCATGTCTCATTCGAATGGAGAGAATCCATCTCTTCTCGCATCGTATGCTCCCACTACTAAGATTTACTAACTTGCATAGCATCTTCATAGTACTCTGGTTCTCCACTGACTGTCAAAAGAAAGTAATCAAGCGACGAAAGATATCTAGGATTCGGTTTGGGTACTTTGGATAACCTCCTAAGCTCCTCGCCCTGGGTATTAGTCTTTGTACCTCAGAACTAACATTATCTATCCTCATTTGAAAGTTTCTCTAAATCCATATACTCAGATGTAACTGCATCCTCAGTGCTGCTCTCACTGCTTTGGCTATCCTTATCATTGTCACTGTCCTTGTACATTACTTCTTCATTAAATATGACATCTCTACTCCTGATGATTTTCCTATTCTTATCATCCCAAGATGATGTCCGAACTCATCAATATCGTATCCAATGAATGTACACTTCTGTAACTTAGTTTCTAGCTTATCCCTGACATGGTCACTGGTATGAACATATGTCACACAACCAAAGACTCTCAAATGTGAGAGATTTACTTTCTTGTCACTCCAAACCTCTTCTGGAATCCTAAAGTCTAATGGAACTGAAGGCCCATGATTTATCAAGTAAGTTGTTGTATGCACCACGTCCGTCCAAAGCATCTTAGGTAGACTTGCATGTAGACGCATGCTCCTCGCACACTCTGTCAGCATTCTGTTCATCCTCTCTGCAACACAATTCCGTTGCGTTGTTCCTGGAGTAGTCCTTTCTAAACGAATCTCATTCAGACTATAGAACTTCTTGAACTCCTCCAACTCATACTCTCTATCATTGTTCGATCTCAGACACTTCACCTTCAGATCTGTCTCGTTCTCTACCATGGCATTCCACTTCTTGAAGATTCCAAACACCTCTGACTTGTGCTTCATAAAGTATGTTCACACCTTCCTCGAGTGATCGTCGATAAAGGTAACATAGTACACCGAACCACCAAGAGAAGACATGTTGGCTGGACCCCATACATCTGTATGAACAAGCTCTAGCTTATGAACTTTAGGTGGTCTTCCACTCTTCTGAAAGATGACCCTCTTCTGCTTCCCGTAGATACAATTTCCACAAATACTAACTTTTACTGATTCGATGCCGGGTAGCTTTCTCTGTGAGTGTGGAATCTTCATACCTTTCTGACTCATATGTCCCAACCTATTATGCCACAGATCTGTACTTTTCTTGCTACCTGCAATTGTGAGGGTGTCACTCGCATGTGAAGTTAAATAGAGAGTTTTGGTTTTATTACCGCGAGCAACAACCATAGTACTGTTAGAGATCTTCCATGAATCCCCAGTAAATATCAAAACATAAGCTTCCACTCCAAGCTGGCCAATTAAAATAAGATTCCTCTTCAGCTTCGATACATGTCTGACATTCTTCAGAGAGCACTTAGAACCCTTCATCTGAATCTTCACATGCCTCTTCCCACAATACTAGAAGGCTCGTTATCCCCCAAGTACACTCTACATAGTTCTGAAGAAGCTTCATATTAGCAGTGGCGTAGAAAAAGCTCTCGAATCAATAACCCATGAATCGGTGTCACTATCCATAGCAAGGATCAATGCATCTTGCACAGTATGAGCCTTCTACTCATTTGTATCCTTCTTTAGCACTTTACAAACTGAAGACATGTGACCCTCCTGACCACAGTTCCAACACTTTTCTTTGATAGGCCTCACCTTCGAGTTCGACCTCTTCTTCTTTGACTTCGACCGCTTCTTATTCTGATTACCCTTATTCTGACTTTGGTCTCTCTACTCGAAATTTAGGCCTGAACCTGAACCCTCTGATTCGGCCAACTTTCTTCTAACCTCCTCGGATAGAATCATACTAACAACCTCACTCAGGTTTAACTTCTCCTTTCCTACCGAGTTACTTATTACGATCATGCAACCTGTCCAACTATCCGGTAACTATGATAGTATCAGTAGGGCTTGCATTTCATCATCAAACATGATATTGACTAAGATGAGTTGATCAACAATCGTGTTGAACTGCTGAGATGCAACGTGAAAGAGTATCCTTCTGACATCTTGAGGTTGAAGAGCGTCTTGACGAGATGCACATTGTTTGCAGCTGACGGTTGCTCGTACATCTTTGTGAGTACTTCTGTAAGCCCCACCACCGTCTTCTTCTTTAATATGTTATGGGTGACTGTTTTTGCGAGTGACAACCGGATCTGCCCTAGAGCCTTCCGATCCAGTATTTCTCAGTCCTCGTTTGTCACCTCCTTCTTTCTCTTTGTTTTTCCCATCAACGGACGGTAAAGATCCTTCTGATACAGATAGTCCTCTATTTGTGACTTTCAGTAGGCGAAGTCTGATCCGTCAAACTTCTCAATCTTCGATTTGCTTTCTTCTCCCATAGCACTCACACAGATCTTTGCCGAACGAAGCTCTAATACCAGTTGTTGGGGTTAATCTATCGACAACCTGTCAAAGAACCTCCACGCAACGCGCCCTCCGGATCTTGTGATGAACAATTAGCAAGCAAGAAATCACAACAAAACAAAAACTTTGCAGAAAAGAATAAATAAAAGGAGAGAACACTAGGTTTAACGAGGTCCGGCAAACGTGCCTACGTCCTCGGGAGCCACACCATAAATTCTTTAATTATTGAAGAAGATTATAAGCTTGGAAAATGCTATTCTCTCTCTCTCTCTCTCTCAGATCTCTCTCTCTCAAAGTGCTCAAGAATATCTCTCTTTTTCATGTATAATACTTGACCCGATATCGGTCGACTGATAGGGGCTTCACAGCTGCTTCGTGAACGTTGTCGGTCTACTGATGGCACCCCATCAGTCGACTTACCAGAGCGATTTTCAGGCTTGTTTGCTACAGTCGAATCGGTCGACTGGTCCGCTTCTTCGATCGGTCGATCGACGGGTGGTTTTCTGCTGCTTGTTGATTTTGTTCCCAGGTTTCGGTCTACACACCCAAAACCAACAAATGCTAGCTTTAGTGAAAACAAATTAAAACCGATGTAATTGCTTGAGTTTGACATTGTAGTGCTTGTATTCAGTCTAGCCTTTGGGTTGAGAATATTTGTGAGGGGTGATGTAGCATCCTCGGTGTGCCTGGGCTTAGAAGTGTATCCTAACGTTCAATAAATGGTTAATGAAATAATTTCATTTACCAAAAAAAAATCTAATACTATGCTATTATCTTGAAGATTTATTTACTATTTTCCCCTTCCAGTTAAGAAAAGCATTACCACCGTATAAAACTAAAAAAAGCAATGCACCCAAATTTATTATTGTTGTTTTTTTTTATTTCGTCTGCTTCACTAACATCCGTGTCATCTTTAAGTAGTAATTCATCACATAATATATCCAATCCTTAGGATACACAGCACAGCTAATTCTAGTTATTTCAGAGTTTAATTGAGAATTTATATGAAATTAATCCAAAATTATTTTTAGGAATTTCCTCAAACAGGTTGTTGAATCAAAAATAAATAAATAACTAACAGCAATTCATCATATAATATATCCAAACCTTAAGTTAACGACCATATATATTCAGTTCCACACCCGTCCTCTTGACAGCTGCCTCATCATCTCCACCTGCAACGTAGACGTTCTGGAATCTGCAAAATCACAGATAAATACGGAAAACATTAGTTCAGCGGTCGCAAAAGTTTCATATAGAGGGGAGAGGACTTTGGCTTCCAGCCATTTAAGATAAAGTAATATAGCCAATAAGGTAAATTATGCGGATCAATTAATTCATTTGCGCTCCGGCGGAGAGCCACATGTGATAGACGAGAGCCAAGCAAACGATTGGATGGTCACCAAAGTGGTTTTGGCCTCATGGGCCAAATTGTAACCCGACTCGTTAAGAACCCGACCCGGTTGTTAGGAGTATCTCACGTTCTGTGGGATTTCTTCCGTTGGAGATCGGGTCTTATGGAGAACGTGGGAATTTAGAGAGATATAGGGCAGATATTTGGGGACGTAGGTAGAGCTGAAATGCCCATAAATAGAGAGGAGTTCTTCTCCTCTGAGCAATTCAACCAGTGAATATCTCCACCGGAGTCCCCAAAAGCTTTCATTGGTATCAGAGCCAACGACCATTCCCTTTTCAGGATAAAATCCTCCTGATTCTTTCCCGTACCCCAGCCTCCCTCCCATCGCCCGCCCTCCCGTGGACCTCAAGTACACCCGCTGAGCTCGCCGCCTCGATTCCCTCTATTTGTCGCTCCCCTCCATCTCCACTCCTCAACCACCGAACATGTGAACAAGATAATTGTCATGGCTAAGGACCTAGCTTTAGCGGGATCTGAAATTCCTGAGAAGTTACAGGTGGAAATTATTTTGAATAGCCTACCACCGTCACTAGATATGGCTGCCTACAACAGTAAGACTTAATAGAACCATTAAACGTGTTACTGACCGGCCAGCTCAGCTAGCAATGGAACAAGATTTACTAGTTAGGCGGAAGGGTTCAGATGTGAACCTTGTGCAGCAAGAATAAGCAAATGCAGCTAAGTACCGCAAGGCATAAGGAAGTCATCGCATTGGACCTATCAAGCCTTCCTTCAAAGGATCTCGCCAGCAACGCGCTCGCGGTAAGAAAGGATCGACCTCCTGGATCATGCTACATCTGTAGGAAGTTTGGCCACTTCAAAACCAACTGTCCACAGTCAAAGATCAAGGGAGGTCCCAAACGCACAGAACAAGGAGGATCCGGTAAGCGGGAGTTCATTAGAGTCATTGAGTGTAATGCTACAACTACCAACGCTGGTGGTTGGTGGATTGACTTGGGAGAAACCCGACATATTGCAAAGATGAAGGAAGGGATATGTGACTTTAAGGAGCTGAAGCAGAGAGATCAAAGGATCTACATGGGGAGCAATACCTACCTAGATATTGAAGGTATTGGTTCGTATAGATTGGACCTTAGGGACATCATCATAGTTCTCAAAAACGTGTTTTATGCACCTGGCATAAGACGTAATCTGATCTCTGTCCTAGCTCTCCTAAAGAAAGGCCTTGAAGTTAGGTTTTACAATGGTAGAGTCTCTATTAGAAAAGACAAGAAAGTGTTTGCTATGGGCAAGTTTGTACCCAAACATGATTTGTTCTGTCTTTCCGTTGTAAAACCTAAATTTTACAATAAGAATTCTTATTTGCTTTATTCCTCATGTCTTTTATCAAATTTTTTATCTATGGCATATGAGGCTATGACATCCTGGAAATAGAAAGATTGATTAGATAATTAAGATGAATTTGTTACCAAATCTGACAGGTGTAAGGACATTAACTTATGAACACTGCTTAACAGGGAAGATGACTAGAAAGTCATTTCTTGAAGGTTAGAGGGCAAGTGAACTTTTAAAGTTAGTTCATTCTGACATTTGTGGACCGTTAACTGTAAAGACAAGTGGTAATAAAGAATGTTTTATAACCTTCATAGATAATTACTCAAAGTAGACTTTTGTGTATCTTTTAACCAGAAAAATAGAAGCATTTGTATGTTTTAAAAGATACAAATATCAATGTGTTAAGAACTGATAGAGGTGGGGAATTCAACTCAAAGGAATTTGAAAACTACTGCATTCATTATGGTATTAAGAGACATACCACTATGCCTTATACGCCACAACAGAATGGTGTGGCTGAAAGAAAAAATAGGACATTGATGAATGCAGCAAGATGTATGCTGTCACATTCTGGTCTCTCCAATGATTTTTAGGGAGAAACAATATTGACTGCGAATTACGTTTGAATAGAATTCCCACAAAATTAGTCGAGTCAACACCATATGAGATTTAGAATGGACACAAACCCGATTTGAGTCACTTAAGAAAATGGGGTTGTGTTGCACATATTCTCATTCCATATCAGGTTAGAGATAAGCTGGATCTCAAAACCTTAAAATGTAGATTTATAGGTTATTCTGAAAAATCTAAAGGATATAGATTCTTCCGTGAAGATAAAAGGGTCATTAAAAGTAGAGATGCTACTTTTCTAGAAAATCTAGAGGAAAGGGAACAAGTTCAAGAGGCAGTACCACCTCTAATAGACTTAGATGATGTTCCCAATGATAACCTGAATATAGTGGATGAAGTACATCATCCAACTATGGAAGATGAACCTTTATATAAGAATATGCCTATGAAAAATCAACCAGCTAAGTATGCCCAACCTGCCCAGCCTTAGTGGTAACAAAAGAACTAGAACAACACCTGCATGGATGGATGATTATTAGCTTTATTCATGTAAACCATCTTGTTTCTCAGTAGATATTGACATGGATGAGCAAGCTGTTCACTTGAGTTATGTGGATGCTATGATCACACATGAATCGGAACAATGGTTGGAAGCCATGAAAAGGGAACTTGACTCAATAGAGAGAAACAACGTATGGGAGCTATGTGACTTACCAGAAGATGGGAAGCATAGGTGTAAAAAATTACCTATAGGTCCCCGAACACAGTTCGAGATGGAGAGAAGATGATGAACATCATTATCCGAGTGAAGGAAGATTATCGGATGCCGATAAATGCATGTAGCGAATCGGTGAACCGTTGATGACGTAGCAACAAACTACTGGAATGGCTACGCGCAAGTGGCCCGCACGCTCACGCGCGCCACCTCTTAAGTTAACGAAATGCATAAAGCGACTCGGTAATGCACGTAAAGGACGAAACAAGCTAAACTGAACAAACCGGAAAAGTCTCTTGTGGTCGAATCGCGTCAAAAAAGACGAGGACCAAAGCCAAGGGCTCGCGTGGGTGCGAGCCACCATTTGGTGGATCGCACGGCCGCGAGCCACCAAATGGTGGCTCGTACGGTCGTGAGCACAAAATGGTAGGCTCGCATAGTGCCGAGCCACCAGATGGTGGCTCGCGCCCAAAAACGTTAAAAACGTGTTTTTCGATAGTTTTTCAGGATTTTTTTCATTGTAGAGCCTCCCCAACTGCTTTGAAGCTATCCCTAAATGCAGTTAAATGGTTATTGACTGCAGATAACATCAAATCATCAGTTCTTATTAGAAAATGCTTAAACAAAAGCCTATAAATACGAGCCTAGGGCCTTCTTTCATAAGAGGCGAGAGATAATAAAAGAGGGCGAGGTGCTTCTGAATTGCAGAGCCTAGAGCCATAAATTTTAGAGAGGGGTTAGCTAGATCTTGGCGATTTCCTATGCATAAAGAGTGGATTTCGAGAGATCTGAGACCCGTACCCGGGTTAGCTAGATCTTGGCGATTTCCTATGCATAAAGAGTGGATTTCGAGAGATCTGAGACCCGTACCCCCTTTCCTCCGGATCAAACTTGGTTTTGTAAAGAGTGGATTTCGAGAGATCTGAGACCCGTACCCCCTTTCCTCCGGATCAAACTTGGTTTTGATCTCGAGAAGAGTCGTAATCTCGCTTGATCGAGGTTACCACTGCTGTGATTATTTTCTTTGTGAAACAAGAGCATTAATTAACTTTTCTGTCAACCGAATCTGATCTGCGATGGTCTACGGATTAATACGTCCCCGGTACAGGCAAAGTTCTCACACAAGCAACAGGAGATAAATTACTGTTGTGTGTTGTTTGAAGGAATTATAATCTTAATATTTTCATTGTGTAAGAAGATCCTATAAAAAGATTAACTTTTTATTTATTTGAGTTTATTGTAATGGCTAAAGTTGTAATAGATTTAACACAATAAAAATAGCAATTTCTGACCCAAACACGCTGGTGACCACAGTGGGAGCTAACAGTCTTTCTGCAAAGGCTGATGTGTCGCAACCTCGGATCCGGATCCCGGTTAACGTAGAGGTAGAGTACGAGTTCGACCAGGCCAAGTTCGAGGAGTATCTGTCGTCCTCCTCCTCTAGATCCTCCACACATTGCAACTGCCAAAAGATCAACGCCCCCGTTATTGCTGCAATCACGACTTGCAACACCCCTCCAACCTACAACGAGGCCGGATCTACGGATCTTGACTCCTCCTCAATCAAGGAGATAGTCGCTGGAGGCACGCCCACTTTATCAAAGAGAGCTTGTCAAAGGCAGCGCCAACGCCTCGTGTGCTGATTCGCCAAGGCTTTGGAGCCTGTAGATGTGATCCGTTATGAAGCGGATCTAAAATTTAAGAAGCGTCGAATGCCTCAATAGCAAGCAAACGGCCCCTCCTCCAAACCAGCAACGAATGAATGGATTCAAGTTAAAAGAACACGTTCAACCCTCGAGGAGCACATTCAGAAGCATCGTGCACTGCTTGCGCATGCAGGGATTCTCGTGCAGGAAGCACAAAAGTTAAAGCAGGAAGAGATGGTCAAGAAACAACTAAAACTACGCTAAGTCTGGAGACCGAAGTCCAAAATAGTGTCGAAAATAACCCGAATTGCGCCCGAAACTATCGGAAAACACTCTGCTGGCACGGACATAGCCGAACCACCAAATGCTAGCTCGGCCAAGGCCGAGCCACCAAATGGTGGCTCGCCGGTCCGCATTGCGCCTTGTTCATATCCTGTGGTCTTTTTTAAGTCTCCGATAGTCCTTGTTTATGTCCTGACGAATCACGCACCTCTGTTGGAGCCCCGTTGTAGCGTGGACTTGTCCCGATTTAAGATAAGGATGACGGATTGCTTGGGTCCTTTACACAAGAATTGAGGCAAAGTTCCGATCAAAGAACGCTTGGGCCCAGTGAATGAATCCCGAGAAACTCATCGAGCTGGGGGTCGCACACGCTCTCGCAACAATTCGGAGCC